ATATACGGCAGAAGCATCGGTTTTCTTAAAAGTAACAGATGCGGGTGTATTTACGGAAAAGACGTTTCAATATGTAACGTAAACTATCTGAATGAAAACGATGATTAGGAGAGGCGCTGAGAGCAAACCAAGGGTGAAATACCACATGACATCGATTAATGACTCTTCACTTATAGAATCACGATCCAAGACATTTTGTATCGAGCAGAATCAGATTTCTGCTAATGATTTGCGGAAAATCAAACGTTAAATGTGTAAACTATTTATGCTGGTATACCTTGTTTATTCGCTAATGCTGGGGCATAAGAAGTGAAAATATTCGAAGTATGATATTTTCAATTGTCTTCTACGACGTGATCGCATTACGATTTCGTGCACCTTGTCATAACTCATTCAGCGCTGTGATGTCGAAGACAGTGCAAACGGCGATGTCGGTAGTATAAGTCTCATTTGAACATATTACAATGACAATTCGACTGTGTACTGTCGCTGGAGAACTCCAATGTAATGCGACAAGATCACATGCAATAGAAAGAAGAACAAATCCTGCTGCAAGATACAGATAAATAGCAGCTCCAGCACTAAATACTGCATGCACTGAACACTCATTCATCTTTTGTGTGTCTATAGCGGTGCTGTTTCTATAGTAAAGTTATCGTGTGCATGAATCGCGTTCGAGAAATCAAGAACTATCACGCATTTGAAAAGTTTGTCATGAGCTTGAAACGTCAATTAATCAGGAAATGAGCATGTGCAGTTTCTTGCCAGCACATTTACCTATGTTACACGAAACAAACATACGCTTCACACTTACCATATAAACCAAAGCAAAACTGTAGTACACCTCAGCTCAGAAGAGAAAAGCCGCAAGAAACCGCCACGGCTACTGATCTAAAACGCCAAAGCTAAATGACCAACTAAGAATGCGAAAATATTAATCAACAATGACAAAATACATATAGTTCAGCAGCAAGAATAAGTGGCAATCAATTTTTAATTTATTGATTCCAATAATTGAATGTTGAACAATAAATTTTTATACAAAAAGGGATTGATTAAAAACTTGATAAAAACTGATACAACACTTTTAACACTCAGAGAAAAAATAAGAAGAGGGCTACTCCGTAATGCTCACCTTAGACGACAATGACTGCAAAAAAACTGGTCGAGCACACTGCATTAAAGTAAACAAAAGATCTCACGCTGTAATAACACTCTTGTCTCTTCCCCGGATTTATACCGCCTAATCTCCTCGTCCCCTTGCATACAGTAGCGCAGGGGACCGTTTAAGAAAGAGAAACAACAGGAAATTTTGGCACCTGCAAATGACAGTGTTTTGGCATGGGCGCAAAACAGCATCTCTTTGTTGCATCGAAAAAAAACTCATTGAATCACAGAATGAAAAATAATTTGCTTATGCTTACGAGAATACATTATTTTGAGCTTCAGAACTCTGTCTGTAAAGGCTGTAAATATTCATTCGTGTGATTAAGCTTACGATCAATAGTCAAGGCAACAAGGAAAGGCTTAAATTTTTTTCCCTTCGCTCATTTATTCGTTAAACTTTGTATTAACTGTTGGTAGGCGCCATCAGGTTATTGTGTATTTTGCATTCCAACGCTTAACTCCACCAAAACCAGATTTCGCCACATATTTCCATCTTCCCTTGCTACTAGTAGCTTAAATGCCTCCCAATCCTAGGCAGCAGTAACATGAGGGCAATGCAATACGTTCCGTGAAATCTGGTTTCGGAGGAGTCAAACACACGTGATCAGGCGTCCCTTATTTCTAAACCGTAGATAGTCTTCCAATTAGACTGCTGCCCAAATCAGTGATTTGGAGAAGAGATTATATTTTTGAGAACGACTGACAGCAATAATACTAGCTTGCTCAAAAAGTGAACAATACAACAGTTTGAACAATACCTCAGTCTTTGGAACGGCCAAAGCTTTGACTGACAGAGTACTGCCGTTTTCCTTCGCCACCTTCTGAAGCGTCGCCAAGGCCATTCCAGGCTGACCAGTAGCAATCAAGAACCTGGGACTCTCGGGAAACCACTAGAGGAAAAATATGAAACAAAGAACTATGAAATTGCAGTTTGACAGGTAATAATACCCACAAAAATATGAGGAAAATGATGCCAGGCAATACCGAAACACACAACAGCCAACGCCAACTTAAATGGGACATGATCAACATGGCGAGCAGGGTCTCAAAAGCAGCTCCAAGAGCCCAAAACACCTAAGAACACAAATATGATGCTGCATAAATAATAAGAGGTATTAAAAAATACCTCGATGAATACTACACATCTCGCACGTTGCGAATTCGGAAGAAACTCGGCGTAAAGTGTCACTCTAAAGAAAGAATACTAGTTGAACATTACGATACACACAGCGTGTGATATACACCATGTATAAAACATGTGACGACGGTTTGACTACTGACATAATATATTTTATAACGGCTGCAAATAAATATAAATGTTCAATAACTCGAAACTCAAGGGTGAATGATTGCGGATAATTTGATGAAAATTACGGCAGGAGAATACGGAGCAAAGGCATACTCAATTCACAACTGCCATGAAAATGATTAATATATTGAATATTTACAATGAATACATACTAAACCCACCGGAAGTCTGTTGTATTTGCAATCATCCAATCCTAGCAACTTATAAATGAAGAGGATAGCGACTTTCGCATGGTGTTCTAGGAGAGGTGGTGCCATGGGCTACAAACGCCAGGCACCTGACGATCGCCATATGAAAAAGAATATCGTTAGAACTACTAGTTGGAAAGTGGTGCGGGGTGTAAGTCAGTAACTATTTAAAGATGACCCTAACCGAAAGTAGTTTACCAAACATAACAGAAGAATGAATTGGTCAGAAGAAGGAGCTGTGATAAGCGCTTACCATTATTACAAAATCGTATGAAATCAGGGAATGTGACATTAAATAGAGCGATTGACTGCCTGGCCAAAAAATGAAATCCCCATGAGCCCGTTTCATTCGCTCTAGCACTTTGATCAGCTTTAATGCAATCCAAGCCAGAACAGTCGCATCGTTGTTCGAGCCTGTCTTTCCTCTACAGAATAAGAAAAAGTCCCTTCCAATAAAAAAAGTCTGTTGTTAACCAGTTAGGAATAAATCATAACTATGCAACCTTGGAAAGTAAAAAATGTATAAAACGGTATGAATTTGTTTATACACTACAAGTTTGTCAACAGTATGATTGACCAGTGCTGACGTTTTGGTTGGTCTCTAAAGAACTTTCTTCAGGATGATCCGCAGCAGCTGTGATGCTTGGGGATGAAGGCTCCTGAGAGATGAGTCGAAACGTCGGTACCTGTGCTCACGCAACTGGCCACCTTGTTTGCTTACGTGCCACCTTTGTGTAAATAAATTTATATCGCTTAATTCATTTTTCAGTTTTCAGTGTGATCACCAACGCAGGAACAAATTACTCTACCTTCGGTTACTATGCAATCTTAGTCAATTTTGTTTTATATTAACTCAGCAATCTACCAAGGTCTCTTCAAGACTTAGTCGTAAACTTATTTTCAGCGATTCTTATCCACCTCGATTTAAACAACTTATTCAGCGCATCCTGATTTCGATTTGCAGGAACTTTACATGAATCGCTTACCTTCCTGGAACACGGTCTAATATCTCTCAGGTCCGGCGGTGATCGGTTCTTTCTGCAACATGGCCAGTTCATTGCCAACTTAACTTCTTTCCTCAGGAAATGATATCGCAGATTTTATCTATGCTCCTAGCCGATCATTCGTCATTCTATTTTTTTCTTGGTTCCCAATAAGCATCTTTCCATGCTGCGTGGATTAGTCGTAGTTTATGAACAGCTTTTTGGTTTCAGGTCAACGTTGCGCATCCATAAGTTAGCAAGCGAAGTAAGAACATTATTAATCTTCATAAACTGGCATCATTCACATCTTAGACACTTCCTTGGAGCTATTCTAGTGATCCTGAAAGGATCAGAATATTGTAGGCAAACCACAGGTGGTACTAACAGTGCCTATTTTTCTTCAGCCCTTGATTTTTCCAACTTACTGGCTTGAAAACCTTTTCTATGGCTGCTGAGAATAACTTCGATGATTTTGCATTACCTTGTCGAATGCCCGTTTAGATTTTAAACTTACTAGTGCTCACATGAAGCTGCGTGCTGGTAGCTGCACTCATGCAAAACATGGTCTCTGTGTCATTTTCTTTTGGCATTCATCCAACAGGGAAGCGAAAAAGGCAGATGAAGAACATTTAGCGCTGTTCATATGACCGCTCGTTTGTTAGAAGTGTCCACCTGCTAGTGTAACGATAGTCATATTGTAGCATAAGTAAATGAACTTGAAATAAGTGCATAAAAACATACATTTTTTTGTTGAGAGGGATATCGTCACGAACATGGCACCTGCGACAACGATATTAGTTAGATTTCCATAACTCGAGTATTCAAGATGCCAAAATGTGCTATTTTTCCATTCCCAGGTATTGCTAATCAAATTCTGCCAACATCCATTTTCTGAATATGTTCGGTTTCTGCTTATGAATTACTTCCTTGCTTTCAAAGAGCAGATTGAATTAGAAAATACCTCTTCGTGTTCAAAATGAGAAGCTATGCAGAAAGCAGCCCTCAACTCTGTTTGAGCTCATAAACAGAGTCATACTAATTAGTTCTGTCTCTAAGGTGTACGGATCCCATCGTTGGGAATTGTCGTCTACCATTTCCAGGTTCATGTTATGTATTCCACATTAACGACTACTGATAACTGTTTAGGAGTAAATGCTCCATCATAATTCGTTTACAGCCTTGTGATCCTGTACGCTCGATTCGTTAGCCGTCAGAAAATGAAAC